GTGTGCTTGGGATCATTATCCTGTTGGAAAATGATATCTTCTTCATCAATCCCTGATTCTGCCAAGCTAGGCAGCAAGTGGTCATTTAAAATGTCCACATACTGCTCAGCATTCATCTTCCCCTCAACCTCAGCAAGCATTCCCACACCATTCCATCCCATACAGCCCCATACCATTAAAGAACCTCCTCCAAACTTGACAGTCCCATTAACCTCTCTGTCTGTTAGGCCATCTCCCTTCTTTTTCCATACATACACCTTCCCATCTGACCCAATCCTATTGATTTTGGTCTCATCTGACCATATAACATGCTTCCAGTCCTCTACAGTCCAGTGTTGATGAGCTAAGGCAAAGGCTAGTCTTCTCTGCCTATGTTTGATGGAGAGAAGAGGCTTTTTCTTCTTTGTTACTGCCTTGAGAACATTCCTCACAGTTTGTGAAGAGACAGGGGTAGTGATGGTGGAATTGATATAATGGGTGGCTTGGACAGCATTATCAGCCTTTCCTGTAGTGATATGTTGGATAATAGCCCTTTTGTCAGTAGAGGTAAGCTTGGATGGACGTCCTCCACAAGAGTTTTCCTTGTCTGGGTGGCTTTCTTTGATGAACTTGGCCACAGTGGACTTGCATATTCCAGTTCTAGAGGAAATTTGGCGAGCAGAGAGGCCAGCATAAGACAGAGAGAGGATATTATCTCTTTGAGCAGAGGAGATGGCTTTCATGGTGATTATGACTATGATACATGAGATATTCTGGTTTATATAGTTAGATATAGTCATAAAATAACATAATGACACCACTTTATAATTTATATAATAGTGGCATGATTTTTATGGTGTCATAAATAATGATTTATATAGTTTTAATATACACTCAAAAAACTGTCCACATGAGTCATCATTTTATAAGCCTTATATCTCCACCATATCTCCGCCGATTCCCACGGTGTAGGGCTCAAATAAAAGCCCTGAAGCCATACTACAATGTGGTATAAGTATGTCCTTGAGGAATTTGTTCATTCTCACACAATATCATAGATAGTGAAAAATGTCAAAACATGCGGACAGTTTTTTGAGCCACTGTAATAAGACTAATTGGCCGGTTCCTTCTTATTGCGCGGCAACATGAACATCATGTTACAATTGACCTCGACGGTTGGGTTGCTCGACCCTTGAATGTGAGTTTCACGCTCCATCTTGATAACATTCCCAGCTACAACTAATTTTCGAGGTCGAACGTCTCCAAAATAACGATTTTGACTGTGGTATATGGGTTTTAGCTACAATATTAGCTGTCGTACGCAGCCAACATGTTACAGGAATGCGCGAGCAAGACATGGACAATTTCTGGCATCATCTTCGCACTATGGTTCTTTTATTGCCGGAGTACCGTGATAAATCCAGAGTAGGGTAGAACATTGATGAGTATCATAGACTACAGTATGGATTCTGCTTGGCAACTAGTAAATTCACTTCCTTTTGACAAGTCAAGATCCTTTGACGTACGAGAGTCCCTTTCCAAATGTACAAGGTTGGAGGTCGGCGTAGGGCAGATAGTGTAGCTCAATATCAGTGATAGGCATTGCTGCACCAAGATGAGAGCAGACGGGAGAGTAACAGATGTGAGGGGCAAATGATGTCACTTCAATGAGGTTCTGCATGCTCAGAGTCATATTTACACTATTTTGAGCACACTGGGCATTGAATGACATTGGGTGCTTGATGTAACGAGTCATGAGTAATTGAATGTGTTCAAAAATCGAGTCAAAAGAAAGGAAAATCAAGGGAGCAAGTGGTACAACTCATGCAAAGTGAGACAAGCATCATGCATCATGGCCCAGAGTTAAACACTGCCGTTTTGCCTGTTAGCGTTCAAAATGCATTATGATAACCATACAACTTGTCATTCTTGCCAAAATGTGGGGAGTAGCATGGTGTGGTGTGTCTTCAGAGTTGATGAGCCAAGTTCAGATAGCCCAATGGACGATGGATAACCGTATATTTGTCTGTGAAACCTATACTGCGCATGGTATCATAATTAAACATCATTAGGTAGGGCCTCTCGGGCCTCCAGAAATGAACTGAGCCAGTCCCTTGGGGCATAATTACTGTTTCAGGTAGTCCCAGTGGTGCTTGAACGTTTGAACCCTCTCAGGGCGGGCCTCTTCGATTTTCTATGTTCTTCGGAACTTACTACAATTATCGATGTTCCAAAATTTCCATGGTCACTGTTTACACGTTATCGTCTAATCAATATCGTAGTATTGTACAGTGACCGCACATTGCATCCTGCAAAATGGCCGCATCCACTGGCACATCAAGCTCACCCTACCGGCATAACTTCGTTAATGTTGCCACACTCACGGACTCCCAATCTTTTTGAGTTACACGGATTGTAAGTACTGACTGTACTATAGATGTTGTATTTTCGGATTTGTTGATATGCTTCTAGATGGTGGATAAGGCGGTGTCGACAGCAGATGCTGAACTTAGTGAAGTCACTGAAGGCTCCCAAGTCGGTGAAGGATGGAAGAGCCTCGATGGGATACCCTGTATCATGGGTGGCCTAAAGGCACTTGTTGGTATGTTCAGTCATGACACATTCACGCTAATCTTAATATCATTTTAGCATCTCTTGGCGGGACACTTCATGGGCAAACAAGTGGTGACTTCCCCTGGAAAAGCCTTCCAAAAGAACTGGCTCGCCTTGGTTATGTTCTCGTCAATTATCCTGATGAGATCTCGATGCCTGGCGAGCTGCCGACCTACTATCTCTCGTGCTAAAGGCATCCACAATCTGACCCAACAGCATCGCACCAGTCTCATCAACTGCCTTAAGGCCGGTGCCCTCACCATTTGAGCAGTGACAAACGATGCTGCTCACCTACGTCTCACTACTTCAAAAGACCCTGTCATTATCGGAGAAGCCCCCTCAGCTTGCTCCATGTACTCCCATGGGCGACGTGCATTTGCTGATGGCTGCATTGACCGAAAGGGTCTTTCCCGTCTTCAACGGTCTCCTTCACCTGTTCCTCAACTGCCTTCTTCATCTGTTCTCGTCGTCACACCCAAGTCATCGTGGAGATTACACGACTGCCTCCCCAACCTAGCTTCTATCACACGGCCTCCACCCCGCCCAGCTTCTCGACGAGTTCACAAACATTCTACTGTGCGCACCAAGCATCTTATTCCTTCAATTGCTTCCATCAAGGGGGGCTCATCCACCACCGAATCAAACTCTGAAGATGCCAGTACCAACGATTGTGAGAATGAGGAACCACGAGTTAGCAGGAGTGGTAGGCGCCCTGTAAAGCGCCTTAGACGCTGATTGAACACCTCTATACTGAGATCAATTGTAGATAGAACATGTATGTCACTCAATACATTTTGTGCTTATACCTCTAACCTGAATTTGATATCCCGTTGTCTTCGGGTGCGGGTTCGGCCTCGTTACTTACATCCTCAACGTGATCTTTAGTAATGAGTTTGCTCTTATACAGATCCCTCTCCGGAGCCTCGGGAGCCTCCAGAGCCTCCCAAAGACCTGGCTACTCGACCGGTCACCTCTACACCCTCCATTGTTGGACCTCCATAATGTTTTGTACGTTTGTTTTTGCTTTTATACTGTCCGTTGTTCTAACCTATTGTGGCCAGAATGAAATTAATGATGGCCTGCAGAATCAGAGACCCTGCACCGACCCAATCTTCCATAAGTATGAGGCCTCATCCGTTTTTTTTCGGCCGCTTTCAGGATCCCCAACTACCCACCCAGTATCTTTTAACAATCCATTCCAAGGATAGTGTCAACATCCGCCCTCCCTGAGCAGGTAAGCAACACCCTCTTGCCTGCATTCAATTTTCTTATACCTGCAGATATGACCCAGAAATACCCGTAATAATCCTGCCAGTGACCAGAGGTCGACCCAGAACAGCCGTGATAATTCTCCTGCCAGTGACCAGTGGTCATCTCTTAACCCCTTCATGGACTCAGCTCCTGCTACACTCGACTACACTCAAGAACAGTTAGGCGGGGGACGATATCAAACACCACCTGTTGAGTTGACTCCTTCCCGCCTCAGGAGCAAACTCAAGGCTACAGCACGGGACGTTGGCATTATCAAAGGTGCTACACTCCGCCGCCAGGCCTTTCAGCACCCCTCTGAGGACAGCGCAAGGTCTGATCCACCAGGCCTTAACCATGCGGGGCAGGAGGGAACTTCAATGAGCGACACGTCATCGCTTACACTCAATGTCGCTAACAGTCGTCATGCCTCACCATTTCCACCTGCTCCTGCTGTGCAGCCACAATCAAGCGATGTGTCGTCACTTACACTTAATGTTGCTCATAGTTGTCAGGCGTCACCATTTCCCCCTGCACCTCCTGCCCCTGCGCAATTGCCAGATCTGTTTTATGGTTCCAGTATGAGCCACCAAGCTGCCTGGATGGGACAACACTCTGGCGCTGATACCTATGGCATGTTGGGGGGTGACACTTTTGGATGACTCAATGATCAAACTTTAGACATGGTTGGAGTGTCTGTGCCTGGAAATGTGCAAGGTGGCCAGCTCACCACACAAGACGTATCCCGCCTGCCACCTGAGCCCTCGTTTAATTTCCCTCAAAGTTCGATTGGATCATCAATGTCACTCCATTGTGAATGCTCGCAAGGCCCTGCGGGTCAACAACCTTCAGGTTTTCCCCAGGATTTGCCTGGTCATGTCTCACCGTTTGTACTCCGTCATGTTCCATCCTTACCTCAAGACCATGCGCCCCTCCTGCCAACAACGAATATAATTCCACCAACACCACTGCAGCATGGCGCCGGTCAGGCTAATAATGACATCTTGATGAATACCACCGTGACTCATGAACTCCCTGCTGTGACAAGAGATTCCAGTCCACAGTTGGACATGACACATTATCCCTCTGCTGCCATCTCCAATAGACGTTTTCCCGAGGAGAATGAGCCTGTCACGCAGCATGATGGCCCCGCAGTTATAGGACGCAGGTCTACGGAACTGAATGCAACCCTTGATACCGGGTTTGCAGAAGTTGAATGCTGCTTTCTCAATCTTTCAACATCTACAACGCTCCCCATAAACCAGCTGATCAATTCGTTCCTGAAGAGCCGTGGACGCACAGTGATTAGTACCAATTACTGGAATCTTTACGCAAACTACTTTAAAGATAACGTCCGGCAGGAACTTGCTCGCATTAATAGAGAGGCACCTGAAGGAGGTGGTACACCTAGTAGGTGCGATTTCACTGAAATCCTATATATCATGTTTATTGTCTTGCAGGTGCCACCGTGCGAACACAATGCTACGACAAGTTCAAGGAAGCTTACCCTGATACGTATCAAGACATTCTGTCAATGCACGAGGAGGCATCTCTCCTAGGGTCATCTCCCCAAACCATTGCACAGCGCGGCCAGACTTTTCAAAAACATTATCGAAGGGTTGTCAATATTGTATGTTATCGTATTATCTACTGATCTCACCTGACTCTTTTTGTCTTAGCTTGAGTCAGGCTCCGTTAAATTTGGCTTTGAAGCCGCTATTGTACTCTGTGGGAAGGTAGTTAATGAGGATGGGTCACTAGGTCACTGCTATAACACACCTGGCGCTGTGGGGGTAAGTTATTCATAAGTATACATGCTGATACACACTCAACAAGTAATAGTTTTGGGAGACACGGTGCCGCGCCAGTGATGACACAATTATAGGTCATCTCAAGTCACATGTGTTGTAAGTTGAAGATCAGTTATGTTAACACAAACCCTCACGTGGCTCTCAACAGTAATACGACATCCCTATCCTTAGTCGATGATGCATTTAGGGATGACAATAGTCGTGATGACCCTTCATCCACCAACAACCTGAATCAGTCTTCCGACATCTTCGAGGGACGCGACGATGGTTTAAAGTGGGTGAAGAGCCAAATCATCAAGGCAGTTGGTATGTTTGATTAGTCTTTCCATTTGCTTAAACTAATGTGCAATACGTCACACCAGCCCGACTTGGTATGTTTGATTGTTCCCACTTGTTCTTTACCCATGTTAACTAACATAACCTTATCACGCTAGCCCGACCTGGCACTGGGTTCAACGACAGGAATTTCCCTTGGAAACTTATGCCGGCGGCCCTTTTGGAAGCCGACCTTTGTATCATAGGATATCCCGCACATAAGTGCCTCTTACCGGGCGAATCTCACAATGAGATTTCCAAGAAGAAAGGTATTGCTGCACTGACGCAGAAGGAAGCGACGGCACTTGCAGATGCTTTAAAGGCAGGGACTATGGTAATTTGCAAATCCGAGCATGAGCGATGTATGTGTTAACTACACTATGCTAGTGAAGTGGTTTGGACTGATTTTTATGTCATATTTAGTGGCAGTGGTTACCTCCAAGAAGCCTGTGGTCATCGGCGAAGCGCCTCCATCCGATTGGCCACATTCTGGTGCCCGACAACTCTATCTTGATGGCCACACTGATCATAATGGCCCTGCTCGCCTCAAGGTCAGCACTGCATCCACCAAAATCAAGAAGGGCAATAAAGCGCCCAAAGCGCTGTCCTGCATGATTTGGGAATCATGCATGAACATGACTACTAGGTATCCCCCTAAAAGACAAAGTCTGTTAGCTTAGTCCTCAGACTAGTCAACCCATACCTTGGTATCAAACCTTGGTCCAATAGTTTCAGTTTTCCCTCAGCGATTCATGAATCCACCATGTTTTGAAGAAAAGTCATATGTGAGATGGGAATCACATAATGACCTAGTTGATATGAGAAGCAAAATGAAGGTTAATGTATTGCCTTTCATTTGGCTTATTCACTTTGGCTAGAGAAACCCATAGAGAAAAGTTCAAAGCCTAACAAAAACCTATCTAAAAAGCCCGTGTATTGTGTACTATTATTTGTTCCGTTATTTCTGAGTTGTTTTCTCTAGTGTTTCTTTACTTTGCTTTTCTATTAGGATGCTCTGACTAATCAGATGCTTCATAAAAATGTACCTACAGGGTATGATGTCATAATGATGTCATAGGACTTCACCTACACTCCTGCAGGTATTTTGGTTGAAAGATATGATATCATAGTGATGTCATAATGATGTCATGTTCCATGGAATTTGCTAGAACATTCCAATGACTCATAATGACTCATAGTGACTCATAGTGACTCAGAATGATGTCATTATCCCACCATGAATATTCTGGAATGTTCTTTTGCACCTGCTAGAACATTCTGCTCCAGTTTTTGGAATATTCTTCCCACATTCTGAAGTCATTACATCACCTTTTTACTTACATAATATTCCCACACAAAATGTATATAAGGAGAGCCCATTCTCCCCCAAAAAATAGATCTCCCACTTGTTGCATTCAAGAACTCCCACTTGAGCAAATTGAACTCTCACCTAAGAAGCTTCAGTCTGAACAAATTGCTGCTTACAAAGCCCATTTCCTTTGTAAGAACTGTCCAGGCAAGTGCAGGGAAAGTGTTTCCCTTGAGATTACGTAAGTTTCTCGCGATAGAAACCCAGTTTTGTGAGACCAGTGTTCTCACCACGTAGTGTTTACTGACCAACACGAGCTTTGGTCACCGTTGTTTTTTGTGAGACCAGCGTTCTCACCAGGTATTTGTATACTGACCAACACGAGCTTTGGTCATTGTTGTTATTTGTCATTGTTTTATATTTGTCATTTGTTGTTATTTGTGAGACCAGCGTTCTCACCAGGTACAGTGGCTCAAAAAACTGTCCGCATGTTTTGACATTTTTCACTATCTATGATATTGTGTGAGAATGAACAAATTCCTCAAGGACATACTTATACCACATTGTAGTATGGCTTCAGGGCTTTTATTTGAGCCCTACACCGTGGGAATCGGCGGAGATATGGTGGAGATATAAGGCTTATAAAATGATGACTCATGTGGACAGTTTTTTGAGTGTATATTAAAACTATATAAATCATTATTTATGACACCATAAAAATCATGCCACTATTATATAAATTATAAAGTGGTGTCATTATGTTATTTTATGACTATATCTAACTATATAAACCAGAATATCTCATGTATCATAGTCATAATCACCATGAAAGCCATCTCCTCTGCTCAAAGAGATAATATCCTCTCTCTGTCTTATGCTGGCCTCTCTGCTCGCCAAATTTCCTCTAGAACTGGAATATGCAAGTCCACTGTGGCCAAGTTCATCAAAGAAAGCCACCCAGACAAGGAAAACTCTTGTGGAGGACGTCCATCCAAGCTTACCTCTACTGACAAAAGGGCTATTATCCAACATATCACTACAGGAAAGGCTGATAATGCTGTCCAAGCCACCCATTATATCAATTCCACCATCACTACCCCTGTCTCTTCACAAACTGTGAGGAATGTTCTCAAGGCAGCTCATCTCAAGGCAGTAACAAAGAAGAAAAAGCCTCTTCTCTCCATCAAACATAGGCAGAGAAGACTAGCCTTTGCCTTAGCTCATCAACACTGGACTGTAGAGGACTGGAAGCATGTTATATGGTCAGATGAGACCAAAATCAATAGGATTGGGTCAGATGGGAAGGTGTATGTATGGAAAAAGAAGGGAGATGGCCTAACAGACAGAGAGGTTAATGGGACTGTCAAGTTTGGAGGAGGTTCTTTAATGGTATGGGGCTGTATGGGATGGAATGGTGTGGGAATGCTTGCTGAGGTTGAGGGGAAGATGAATGCTGAGCAGTATGTGGACATTTTAAATGACCACTTGCTGCCTAGCTTGGCAGAATCAGGGTGTCATGAATTCCAAATACAAATCATTATTCTTTCTTGAACACTCGTAAAACACCCGTTAAGCGCCCGTCACAAACGCCCGTCGTTAGCGCTCAGTCAGCGTCTGTACCAATAACCTTCACAAACCCTAACCCAAACTTCTCCATTCCATTAGCGCCCACTACTTCTATCTCAGACATCCCTGATTTCGACTTCCTTACTCAAGCTATTAAGTCACGTGACTCCAGAACCTTCGAGAACCCTTGCACAGCTATCACACGTTCCATGACATCATAGTGTAGTTATATTTAGAACATCGTACGATTCCCTTTTCTATTTAATGATTGGTTAGTTAGTTCAGATTCAGATTCAGTCTCCGCTTCAATATATGTATATAGGTAGCTCGTTGTAGTCAGTAGTTCTTCAGTTCAAACCTCTTTTGTATTAGCTTACTGCTAGCAATCCTAAGACGTCCCTGCTATCCCCTCTTCTTTGTTAAATAACCTTAGTTTGAGTCCTAGTCTCTGCCCTAGCGTTAATTCGTTTAAAGGGTTGTGACATTAGGTTTGAACTATAGGGGACTCCGACTCCACGCACTACCGCTTGCATACTTTTTCTCTTTGATCTGAGCATCTTGCGAACATCCACGATCCTCAATCAAACAGAACCATTACACGTTTCATATTGCCCGGCTTAACAGCTGTGACCCTTGATTTCATCACTCTCCCCTTTGCTCATTTGAGCGCATTCATACCTATCCGCTTTCGTAGTTAGTAGTCCTATACCAGGCCCTGCCTTACATTGCAGCCGCCAGTATACGGAGGTGTTCACGACATTAGGCGTGTTACTACAACTTTGAGTGCTGGCCCAAGACCCTGCCTGCTCAACGTTACTATAATTTCCTTTTTACCTATCACCTTTCTTCGTACGATACGTAGGCTACTCTACCCAAGTATTTAGAGGAATTTCCTAGTCCAGACTCGGTCGCTTGTAAGCTTCGGCTGGAAGAGCACCTTGGCGTTCTAGTTTTCCCACTTGGCGAGTATAGTTGTTACATACACATCTTTTTTAGTCAGTATCTAGGGAAGAGTCAGTTGGGTTTTACCAGGACCCTTTGACCCTGAAGTACGAGGTAGATCCGATCAGATATCGGGGACCGCTTCAGTTTTCCAGATTATGTATCCTTTTCCATCTTCCCTTTTTACCATCTTTCCTTTCCGGAAGAGCCGTTACGACTAGCTCTTCACAGACATCAGTAAATCGGGTTCCAGAAAACAACTGGTACTATGTCTGAACCAATCGCAACAAGAATGCCGAGTAGCAGCGAAGAGTTTGTACAATATGTACAAGAACAGATCGCCGCAAACAATGCACTGTGGCAAAGTCAAGTCACGGCGTTGCAAAACAAGAATGACGAGCTATCAACAAGAAATGAAGATCTAGCTCTACGGATTCAGATGCAACAAGCCGAGATCGACAAACTCACCGCTTCCCCATCCCTCGGATTATCCACCGCTTCCACCACAGCCTCAATTAAGATGGCTAAACCCACAGAATTCACAGGAGATAAAGATTCTATTGATGCCAAGATGTGGGCAACACAGATAGCGCTCTATATGACGCAATGGCCTAGCATCACAGAAAGGCAAAGAATCTCAGTCATGCTTTCGTTCATGAAAGG